ATCTCGAATCGCGTATCTCGAATCTCGGATCTCGAATCTCGGATCTCGGATCTCGAATCTCGATCGCGGACCTCTCGGATCTCGAATCTCGGATCTCGGATCTCAGATCTCAGATCTCGAATCTCGAATCTCGGATCTCGAATCTCGGATCTCGAATCTCATTGTCAAGTGCGTTCTCTAATATAAAATACAATTTTCAAAATCTGAAGGTTTACACAGGCCTGATAGTGGCCAAGATCCACGGTCCAGCCGGCCGGCCGGCCGCCTGATCAACGACCGCGTCGGATACTATTACTACTACTACTACTACCACTACTACTACCACTACTACCACCACTACTACTACTACCATACTACTACTACTACTACTATTACTACCATACTACTACTACCATACTACTACTACTACCATACTACTACTACCATACTACTACTGCTACTACTACTACCACTACTACTACTACTACCACTACTACTACTACTACCATTACCACCACCACCACCACCACCACTACCACCACTACTACCACTACCACTATTACCACTACTACCACTACTACCACTACTACTACTACTACCACTACTACTACCACTACCACTACCACTACCACTACCACTACCACTACCACTACCACTACCACTACCACTACTACTACTACTACTACTACTACTATTGCCACCACTGCTACCACTATTACCACTACTACCACGGCTATTAATACTACCACGATTACCATTACTACCACTTACCACTACTACCACTATTACCACTATTACCACTATTACACTACTATACTACTACACTACTACTATTATTACCACTACTACTACTACTACCACTACTACTACTACTACAACTACTACTACTATTACTACTACTACTACCACTACTATTACTTGGCCGGCTGCCGGCGAAATAATAGGCCGGGTTGCCCGCGCCGTCCTAATTATATAGACCATCGAAATGTAGGCATCTACTTTTACCACATTGCTTATTTTTCCTCCATTCTTAAATGTAAGCTCTCAATTGGCATGGCTTTGATCTCTTATCGAATTTGGGCCAATATGCTAAGGTCTTTTTATGGTCCTGATTCAACCTTTCATGAATTATACTATATAAATTATATAGAATTCCATTAATTATTATCTATCGTTAGGTTAATACCTTTATTAGGGGGATGTGGTCTCGAATATTTAAGATCTTAAAATTTTTTGTCCTTGAAGGGGGAATAGATATATATAATATATATAATAGGATTACGGATATATTTCTTTATATATTTTTTGGGCAATAATTTTGAATATAAATTATTATTGTATTTGAATATATTTTTCACCCGTAATTCGCTTGGATTGATAATAAAAAAAAATCGTATGAGAGCGGAACAAGGATAAAAATAACCCATTTTGAATTCCGGAGAAAAATTCCTAGGTTATAAGGATTGCCGGTGTGGGGATTCGAATTGGGCTAGCGTTCCTGGAGGGAAGAACCAAATGGGTTATTTGATCCTATTCGGACCGCTTGATTGTTTGGGCAAGAAAATTTATGGAAACATCTTGGATTGGAAATCCAGAAGATTACCCCGAATGATCCATTCGATTCTTGCAAACGTCGTAGATGAAATGGTTGATCGTTTTTTTTCTACAATTCCTGCATCGCACTGATGAAATCCCACAAGACCAAGGCAGAACCCTTCGACAACTGCAATGCACCGATTGCAAGAGCCTCTACGATGCCGTGATGAACAACAATCTATTAATGTCGGAGAAACGAACGATAATTAGCATTCGTTCAATTCAGGATTATATCTGCGATAACGATTGCAGGTGGGTCCCAATCACTTCCATGTGGGTAGATTGCCTCATGAAGGATGATTTTCAGTTGTGCTTCGGATTTTAGCAATGATTGGGCCAAATATCAATGGGAATTTATTTTGTAAGAATCCTGAAATATTTTTGATTTCTTTGATTATATATTCGTCAATCAGCGGTTTTGGCACCACCTCTTAATCGGTCCATCAATCCGTTCCTTGAATCACTTCGTAATTTGATATCATTCCTATGGACCTTGGTTGCTGGGAACATTGGTTCTATAAATGAAAAATCTGCGATTTCAATATTGTTTGGCATTTGAATATTCCATTTCATTCGATCCTCCCGGTATTCACACTTTTGATTTTTTTTTCGATTATTTATTTTCCAATTATGATTTATAATTGATATTTTTTTTTTCGATTTCTTTTTTATTTTTAAATTTGATGTTGTTTGATTTTTTTTTTTTCAAATAATTCATTTTTTATTTACCATATGAAATTTATTTATAATGTAAAATTAATATTATTTTAGGAATATATTTTTATTAATGAAAAACCCCAAGGAATTAATTTCAATAATGATACATCTAATATATAGAATTATTTATCATTTATATAATGTTTTCGGATAATATAAAAATCGATGGATTATTATCTAATAATTGAATTTTATTAGGAGAAGATAATATAAAGAAAGATAAATATTATTTGTTTAAAGAATGAAATCGGAATGGAATTAGGATAATTTTATGCAATAAATATTTATTCATTATTTATAAAATCGAATTTATTTATTTTTATATAAATTTGAATTACATACAACAATTTTCTTAATTTTAATATATATATATATTGATTCTTTTCTTGAATTTATATTTGTAATAAAGATAAATTATTATATCTATATTCTTTAAAAATACATATTAATATATTTTAAAAAAAGGAATTGACAAAATGAGGTATTTGAATGGAATATTTTTAGTAAAATTAGAATCGAATAAAAATCGAATAATTTAATTTGGTACAAATGCAAACAATTAACAATATTGCAGATATTTATATTAAATTATTTGGAGATCAAAAAAATTCATTTTCTAATAATTCTTTTATATCATTATTATAATGAAAAAA